TATGCACTAGTTGTAAATCATACCGCCAGGGAGGTTAATACGCACATATGCATACTTACAGCAATACATAATTTATTGATGTAGCAGTTCCACACACATCCTTATGCTCACATTCATTTTTTATGCACTTTCACAGTGCTAAGCAGTAACACATTGATATGTTACTGCATTACTCTTGATCTCAATATACAGTATATTCACATGTATTACTGCACTTTTGTGGGAACGCACTAAAGGCAAATAAGCTGCTCATTTTACAGGGGAAATTTCCACTCAGTTTAGTGACTGTTGACTTTCATTACCCAATCATGTACAAGCAAACATACTGTTTTTTTAAATTATTTTCCTGATGGGTATTCTTTGTAAAGTGAAATGTCACCATATTCACTAAGCTAAGGCGAAACTTCCCCTACAAAGTGCAAATTCCCTTGCAAAGTAAACAGCCTATATGCCTTTAGTAAATCATCACTAATGTGTTACTGTGTTATTTTTCTTCTAATACATTCCACCTTGTGTTCACTATACTGCTATCATTATGTACTTCTACATCATACGAAAACATATTAGGATGTCATGGTGTTATTCATCATTTACGTACATCACACATGCACTCTAACAGTATTTTCGCAGTGACACATTGATGTGGTACTGTGTTATTCATTAGCCAACATACATTACGCATGTAGCTGTAGATATTGTTGTCATACACGTTTTATTCCCTTCACATAGGGTTTTGTTATCAGCTTAACATTTATTGTTATTGCTTTTAGCGTTATACACACACATGTAGCTATGGTAATCTGTTTCCACACACTCTTATTCCTTTACTTCATATCTGATTGTACTATTACTGATTTTATTGTCACACTTGTTTTGGTTTTATTCCCTTCTCACAGGGTTTTAGTATCAGTATAACTAGGTGCGTACTGCTTTTAACCTTAGTGGTTAGGCAGGTTGTTTTGCATGCTGGCTGCTGAGTGTGCCTGGAAACATTTTGCTGTTGTATTGCACAAGGGGATCCCCTGGTGGGCCCCAAGTATGTCACCTAAAAAATTTAATATAAAGTAGCTAATGGGAGTCTGTCATTTATATCTGTCATTTCTACCTGTCATTCCTGTCAATGCCATGCCTTTCTCTCTGGGTCGATCATTTCACCAGCCACATATTCCCACAGGGCACAGAAACTTCAGCAAGTCAGACACGTGATAGATGGCTGCCTCCTGGCTGCAGCCCACCCTTCATCACTCTCTGCTGCATTGCTAGGCAGCAATATACGTAAAAAATACAAATGTCAGACCACCTGACCTCCTCCTATCAGCACCCACTGCAACCCATACTTACGCATACATTATTAGTATGAAATGGGTTACCAATACATCACACATACATATCTTTTTAAAATAAGGTCACACGCAAGTGAGAAATTTGAAGGGAAGCACCAAAAAGGACAAAACAAAAAAATTGCTTTGCCAAAGATATAAGAGGTCGCCAAAAAGACTAGTTGAAGCAGGATCAGATCATAGTAGAAATGATGACTGCAGAAACATTCTACTGTTTCTAGCTTTGCACGTTCTTCAATGTCAAGTCAGTGACCAGGTGACAAAGCAGGCATGGTTAGAGGAAACTATAGGCGGTACACAGAGTATTTGAGCGTGACCCATTCTAAATGTATAATAAACCTACTTCATGTTCAGATATGCCTCCAACAACTGTAGAAACTGTAATCTTATGGGCAGAGAAGTATTGTTTAGATACTGCATCTGCAAAATATGTAATGTTCTGCTCTGTTATGCCTTCCATATGTGCCTATGGCACCTACAGCTGTCAGAACACCCAGACAGTGACTGCAGAAGTTTGGATGCAGTTTCTGTTCACATGACAATTTTTGGTCCTGAACCTTGTTGATTGGAGTGATGTCGACAAAGCCAAACAGTCTGAATTTCAGCCGAGCAGGACTCGAAACCAAAATTCGAGCAGTGTATGGCAAGAGTAAGTCTAAATGTATGGCAGTGTATGGCAAGAGTAAGTCTAAATTTTACTTTCTTAAAGGAGAACTATGAGGTGAGTGCTTTTCACTCACCTCATAGTTCTAGCCGGCCTGTGACAATGAGACTGTCACAGGTCGGCTCAGTAGATCGGGAGGTGAGCGAACATATACCGGCATTCGCTCACCTCTCGATCCTGTCACGGCTCTCTGCCGTGACAGGGGAGGGGCTGGATTCCCCCTCCCCGGTCCAATCCGCCAGCGCTGACTGGCGGAAGGGACGGGGGAGGGGGTGGGAACAGCTGGCTCTGCCTCTAGACAGGCAGAGCCAGCTGTCACTCACGCAGCTGGGCGGATCTCGACATCGATGTCGGGATCCGCTCCGGCTGCGGCATCTCAGTATACCGCGAGCTGTAGCTCGCGGTATACTGAGCTTAGGGTAACGGGAGGACGCTAGTTTGTGTCCTCCCGTTACCCTAAGGAGAACTATGGGGAAAGCCCTGACCCCATAGTTCTCTTTAAAGCCCATCCTATGCATCATCAGTCGCTACAAATGTGTTAACTTTCCAATGGCAGGTGTTTGCACAATTCTAAAAAAAAAGACCTTTAATTTGTGTAGAAACCCAAGAAATGTTACACTTTACTGCCCAGTCCAAGCATGTATGTACCAGGGAACATGAGGAATCTGGACAAGATCAGACATTTTAGCTGAAAACTTAAGTTCAATAACTCTCTAAATATTTCTAAACTTTACATAAACAATGTCAACATCTTGAGGACTGGGTACAGCAATTATTTCAGCTCTGTATGACTGGTTATTATCCTCTTCACACTTAATGACACTTGTTTGACCAATCACTGGTCATTCTCATCATACTTAGCAACACTTGCTTGACTAGTTACTGTGATTGTAATTTTCCTGCCTTCTATTTCTTCTCTGTTATATACATCTCGGGTATTGCTCACTGAGCATAATAATGGAGAAATCAGGTGGAATAATTTACCTAAATACATTTGGAGGATTGTGTTTTAAAAACAAGCAAAGTATAAATATTTTCTGTTGTAAAAGTCGTAGCATGAGAAGTAAAGGAAATGTTGGATGAAGACTTTATTTGTTTTAAAAAATTTGACAATTTTATGAGGTGGACCCCCTGTAGGCATCAGAGTCCTAGTTCACCTCTATGTCACTTGCCCTTCTGTTTTAGATTTCAGGTTCTCATGAGCAGGTCCCCCTAACCCTTGTCTTGAATTGTTTTGTAACAGTTCTGTCTCCTTTGATATTGTAAAGTTGTGCACAAAGTGTTGGTGCAATATCAATTCTGTATAATAATAATTTTGTTTTAATTATTTATGAATGACCTGTATCTGATTATGTTACATCTTGGAATAGCATGACAAGACTTTCAATGACAACCCCTTCTGCTGAATTGGTGCATATCTCCATACGTATGATGCTGTAATGAAATGGTCAATTATCATGTGCAAAACTAATTTCAATAAGGGGAGAAGGTTTGTGGTTTCACTTGTACCTGTATGTTAATCTGACATTGTGTTACTCCTGAATAGGGAGCAATGTTTGCTCCAAAACACAAAGTATTAATAAATGTTTTCCAATTAATCCTGAATTCCTGACTACAGTTTTCTTACAGGATCATGTTTCTATGGTTTATCCAGCCTTACGGGCATACATTTTAAAAAGCGCTAGTGCTGTGGATTGTTAACCCAGCAACAACCTCAGGTGAGCCTCTCCATCTTGGCATGTAACCTCTAATATAACTGATACCCTTACAAGTTATCTCATTTTGTTTATTAGAGACATTGTAATCCTATACTGCGGATGCACAGAAATGAAGTACAAATGGATTGATTCACTGCTGATACTCTTCATATTGGAGGTGTTGTGTCTAGAGCTTGGCCTACCATGGTATACATTGTGTGTTATCTCGGCCACATCCTTAGGTGAGCACTAAATGTCTGATTGATGGTATTTGCAAATTTTCTGATACTTAGAGGCAAACCTGTGCTTGAATGAAAGATGTCAAGGCAGGTTGGATTAGAATGGATACAGATGTGAATCTAACTCATTTGGAAATTAAGCAGGCCAAAGCTTTCACAGCTGAGTCAAAATTTCAAGCAGAGTGTAGGAGTCATATTGGTGAGCAGATTTTACACACTAGACGTACCTCCCAAATCTCTTGAAAACACTTTTTATTTATCATTATGGAGTTGCCCTTTAAAGTGACATACAGGTGAAACTCGAATAATTAGAATATCGTGCAAAGTTCATTTATTTAACTAATGCAACTTAAAAGGTAAAACTAATATGTGAGAGAGACTCATTACATGCAAAGCAAGATAGTTCAAGCCGTGATTTGTCATAATTGTGATGATTATGGCTTACAGCTCATGAAAACCCCAAGAACCCCAAATCCACAACCTTAAAAAAGTAGATTATTACATGCAATCAATAAAACAAGGATTGTACATAGAACAATATCGGACCTCTGAAAAGTACAAGCATGCATATGTACTCAGTACTTGGTTTGGGCCCCTTTTGCAGAACTTACTGCAATTACTTTTGCACGATATTCTAATTATTCGAGTTTCACCTGTAGAGTCAAAAAACTGAAATGGAAATCAACTGCCAGTGTGCACAGGAAAAACTGATAGAATTGCAAATCTAAAAGATGTTGGAATTAAAAAAATTATCTTAATTATCCACCCCGCAGATTAGTCCCTACAAAGGACTTGTGGAAGAGATGGCCACTGTTGGCTAGAATATTGATTAAAGCCTCCAGCAGCCACCTTTCGCTTGAATATGCAATAAAAGAGTCAAATGCATGGCCTCTCAGATGGCTAAATTAAAATAACATTTTAATTATAAAATCATTGCAGGTTTATAGACATTTCACAAAGGTGGGAATACAATGAAATACATATAAACCTCAAGAAGTAATAGAAAGTTCAATGTAAACAAGGTTGCAAATTGACTGGTTATTTAGAAGAGAGAAGAGGATTATGTACTCACATAAGGTAGTGAAGGGTTGCGGTGGCGATACGTCCCTGTATTTTTGTTAGCCTCAATGAAATATTTTTGTGCACGCTTTCTTTCTCTTTCCAGTTTTTTCTCTGAGGCAATCTGGCTGGTAGATAAGCTGTCCATATATCTCATTATGATGTCTGATATCAGAGCACATACTTCTACTATGTCTGGACGAAGATCAGCATCTGAAGTCAAACACCTGGGGAGTAATGAATTTAGTGACTATCAACATGCCAAAGAATACATAAATGCATACGCTTATAGTCAATTGTGGGGATTCCAAATGCATACATGATACATAGTTATGCCCAAGTTAAAATAAAGAGGCATTAGTGAATATGTGCAATATATGCACATACTGTAGCTTAGTTTGGCATTGAACAGATAAAGTTGAGTCTTACCAGTTATCATGCCAAAAAGGAAAAATGCCTAAAATTGTGTTTTAGTGTAGACTTCTGGGGACCAAGCACTGAGAGGCAAGAAAAAATAGCTCTTTCCACACCTACAGTGTCCCCACGCTGCCATCACACAAGCTGCAGCCAAGAACTGGTAGCTGCAGTGACAGAAGTCCCCTGGAGGGCATAACAGTTAGCATTTTCCCTATTCAGCCAAGGTGGATCCCCGCAGTGTGCCCTCCGGGAGGAAAGAAGCACCATACACCACATACAGGGTAGAGGGAAAGAGGAAAACAATGGAGGAGACCCCCTATACTTACCACACCGCTGCCCAAGTCTTGAACTGGTCCAAAAACGGGGATCTTTAGGAAGTGGGGGGTTTGACCACCAGCAGGGACCATCCCTAGGTTGAGTTTTTGTTTTGTTTTGTACCTAGTGTCTTACTCCTGCAGGTGGCACTTTAACCCAGTTGTAAAGAATAGAGAAAGCCAGTGCCAATGAATGGGAAAAAGTAAACAGGGATCTGCTTTACATATGATTGGATAACTGATATAAATCTTCACACATTTTATTATGTAAACATTCTCAACTCCTTTAGCAAATCAGTCTCATAGCATCAACATTATAGGCAGAGGTCACAGCAAGTTGCAGACAGGTATAGTGAAGGATCCAGACAGAGCGAATGACAGGTAGGATACCAAAGCTTTCTGAAACCAACAGGGACCTTCTTATCAGACACGGAACCGCTGAGCAGCTTGTAAATTAGACACACTGACATGGTGCCTGCATAAAATACATGAGTTCAGCCATCACTTGTGAATGCACACTAGGAACAATATGACCAACCCAATGAAAAAGATGCCAGTGTAGGAGCCAATGGGAAGTGGGGAGGATTGACAGTGTCACACAAGAGGTAACTGAGAGTGGTAAGCTCATTACAACATGCTTTAACCTGCATTCACACAGAAAAACATGTACTACCATGAGTTAATACAACTTTACAGCAAGAATGCAGATTGATAAAGCCATTAACAAAACTTAATGATATGAGCAAATACAAATGTAAAAACTGCCCACGTGCATTACACCCCATTGGCTAATACAGTAAGTATTGATTTTTTTCGTAGAAGGAGTATATTGATTTCTCAACTTTGGTGCACATATCTCAAGATTCAAAAAGCATCTGGGATTTGTTTTAGTCCTAGACAGCTCAAGCCAATTTATGATTTGTAGAATGTTAATATATTCACTTTCTCCAAAATAATCGATGGAAGCTGTAAATATAAATAATGAATGATATTACCTTTTAATGGTATTTGAAACTTTTTCGGAATACATTCCCTCAGGAACAGGAACATACATGGCTTCTACTATCTAAAAGAAAAAATAAATAGCTTTTATCACTGTGATACAAACAGTAATTAGGAGACACTAAGGTTTTCAATGTGCATAAAACCATTATTAACATGTAGAGATCAGAATTTACTATGTACAGCAAGATATGCCAGTAAAGGACATTTCCGGGCTTTATTACATTTTGCCTACTATTTCTTACCCTCCTTGTAGTATCGGGAGGAGCTCGTCCATCCTACCCCTTAACCCTCTCTTGCATTTTCCTAGGGAGCTACTAAATTCAACATTTACGTATATTTACAGTTATAGAGCTGTACTGTATTTATTGGTTAAAGGGTATCTATGGATAAAAATGAAAAATAAATGTGCATTTTTATATCCACTCTCCATAAATTCTATCCCACTCCTTATAACCATATTGATCTAGAAGCTTGTAAACTTACTTATTGAAGATGCCCATAGGATGTACTTCCTCAATGCAGTGACACAATTTCACTCAACCCTGTGAGTATGCACTTCCTTGTGTAAGAGCTCACAGAGCCTGCCTTCTGAACTACAACTTAACGTCTGAACAATGTAACATTATCATTGCTTTCTAAAAGCCAGGCATTATGGGCTATCAAGTCTTGAAAAATTGAGATTGCATCACATCAAGCAGCAGGGAAATAGATGCAAAGCACACTGGGAATCCAGGAAGTTGTTGAAAATGATGAGCAAACAGAAGGTAGCACTCACTACATAAAAGGGATCTTTTCAACTAAGCTTTGATTGCGTTATCAAAAACAACTCTAGTATGTATTCCTATTACAATGCTGATGTTATAACAGAATAGTACATGTTGTGACTTTAGAACTCCTTTAAACTCAATGGTCTTCTGGGGTTTTTTTTAACTAGAGTAAATACGTAACTATCTGGTCAGCTTGTATCAGCACGTTTCAACGGTTAGTGGAGCTGCAGACTGTTCTGCTGCAACAAGATAGCCTTAGAGGGGTAAAAAGCAACTCAATGTTAGAATATTCATTTTAACAGTCATATCTATCTACACCTAATGCCAAGTCTACATTTGTGCAAGAATGTACTAGAATTACATCTCAAAGTATCAGCTAAAAAGTAATTGGGGTAATTTCACTAAAGTAATAGAGGATGTTCAATTAGGAAAGTGAATATTATTTTGGAAAGTGTATGATGATGACGATGATTATTCTTATTCTTATTATTACTATTATAATTCTGGATTTATATAGCACCAAGAGTTTGCGAGTTGCGAGAGTTTACAAAATAAGGGAAGACAGAACAGTTACAATACAATTTCATACAAAAGAATGAGTGAGGCCCTACTCATGAGAGCTTACAATATACAAGGAGGGGCAAATGATACAGATGATAAATACTGTGAGGGATAAACTGATTGAAGGAGTAGACGTACAGTTTTTAGGAGGAGGCCGGATAGGCTCCCCTATCTCATAGACTCATCAGAAGAGATGAGTTTTCTGGGATCACATAAAGGCAGCCAGAGTAACAGATAGCTGGATAGACCAAGGTAGGGAGATCCAGAGGATGGGAGAGGCTCTGGAGAAGTCCTGGGGGTGAGCATGGGGGGAGGTGTCAGTGGGCTAGGCAGCACGAGGTCTTAGGAGAAGTGGAGAGGATGGTTTGGGTGATATTTTGAGATGAGGTTGGTGATGTACACGGGGATAGAGTTGTGGATGGCTTTGTATGCTGTTTATTCTGAACAGCACATATTCACTTAACTTAATGAATACGATGAAGCTTTTATTACTTGAACCATCCAATGATGTTCAAGCAAAAACTTTTTTTTTTTTCTTCTTTTTCTTGCACATGATTGTGTATTCGGAGTGAACACAGCCTTACCATATTTACTAAGCTTAATGAACATTCACTTTGCAGAATGACAACACTCTATTACTTTAGCAAATCAACTCCATTCTATTTAACTGCTAATGAGGCAGTCAGGGCAGCCTATTAGTTTAGTAGTACCATGTCATATTGCAGAGACACTCCAAGAAAAATACTAATCAAAGTACGTTAGAAATGAGTTTTGATAAATATTTGAATAGAATAAAACACAATATAACAGCTGACTGCAATATATTTAACTGAACAATACCTTTCCAAAGATGCAAATGGTGAATGAAAAGGGCACATTTTGCAATAGGTGGAACACAGCAAAGGAAATAACTTTTCAGATTATGCCTATTAAATTGCTGAGGTGTGTGAAATTGCTTTAAATATGCAAACACATTATATTTCTGTGTCATCAGCATAAAGCTTACAAACATTTCATTTTCAAATATATACTCTATAACTGGCATGTGACATTTACAGAGTCTCCAGGCAAGTCTTAAATTATTGCTAGAGTAGCAAAAACTGCTACAGTGAGTCCTAACAGTGGAATAAACTGATTTTAGCATTCTTATCAAGTGCTGACATTTTTCATTCTCTCCTTTCTAAATAACTGTAAAATCGTTATATTTTTCCAAAAAAATTTGACTTAAAAACTCAAAGAAATAAATCTGGGGATCAAAAACGATGGGGTCTATTCACGAAGCAGCCAAAAGATCTAGCCGCAGCTTCGGTAGATCCTTCGGCTAGCTTCGGCCCCAGGACCCCTTCGGTTCAGTAGAACCGAAGGGCTGCTGTATGGGCTATTCACAATAGCCCGTACAGCTCCCGAACTTAGCCGAGCGGCTCAGTCGAGCCGTAGGGCATATGCCTCGGCTCAGCTGAGCCTCGCTAAAAGTCGAAGCGGGCCGAGCGGCCGGCCATTGGCCGGCCGACAGCCTGCTTCTGACAGCTGGGCAGAGCCAGCCGTGATCTTACGGCTGGCTCGGGTCACTTGCAGAGAGATCAGCGTCCCTAGATACCAGCTAACCAGGGGCACTGATCTCCAGACAGCAAACCCTCATGGCCGCTCCGGGAGTCTCCCGCTCCCGGCCGCCAAGGAGAGAAACACTGCTTTTTCTCTTTTTTTCTTTATTCTGACGCGGAGCCGTGTCAGAATAGAAAGAAATAAATGTTGCCCATACGAATGCATTGCTAGATTCCTTTTGGCTATTTCAATTTGCAATAGCCAATAGTAAACTAGCATTGCACCCGCTTACACTCTGCTGCAGTTCTCCATCAGGTCCATCAGCAGGTCCATCAGCTGCCTACGGCAGCTTAGTGAATAGACCCCTATGGGACTGGTTTCAAGTCCGATGCTACCAATAAACTTGTTTTCAGTTTTTGGTATTGTGTGAGGAAGGTTTTATTTGCAGCCTATGCCCCCACTGGGAAGATGTTAGGACAGGAAGTCATGGGAAATCTTTCCAGTGGTAATAAAACCTTGATTTTAGTAAAATGGAGAAAACATGTACTATCACGAGTTAATGCAGCAAGAATGCAGCTCAATACAGCCACTGACAACACCTAATGCAATGGGTGAATTCAAATGTAAAAACTGCCCATGGAACTTAAACCTACTGACTAATACAGTAGGTATTGATTTGTTTTTAGAATGAATAGATACTTACAAAGACTGCAACACATGGATAACGGTTAGAACTTGTTAGTCTATTATTACTATCTGTGTCTTTCTGTCCCTGTGGCAACCCCTCCCCTCATTTCTTATTCTGCTGTCACAGGGACAGGAATTAAAGTGAAATCTTGCCAATGGAGTCACAGACCATTATATACCTCCAGGTGTATAACTCGCCTCCTGGACTTCTCTAGAGTCTCTCCCATCCTTTGGAACTCCTTACCCCCAAACTGTCTGTCTAACTCTTAACCTGACTACCTTTAAACAATCCCTAAAGACTAATCTCTTTAGGGAAGCCAATCCCGCCTCAAACTAACCACTGAACTATTACTTTCTCAAACAATTCATCCCCACACAGCTACCTCCTCATGTATCACTTGCCCCTCCCTTTTAGATTGTAAGCTCTCACGGGCAGGGCTCTCCTTACCATCTTGTCTTGGATTGTATTGTAATTGTAATGTCTTCCTTATATTGTAAAGCGCTGCGCAAACTGTTGGCGCTCTATAAATCCTGTATAATAATAATAATAATATACACTATAAAAAAAACTTGATGCAAGTATTTACTTTTCCCAAATCTATGGAAAACTGAGAAAGAAAAATTTGGCTGAAGTAGGAATTTCAGAAACTAGAGTAAAATCAGCTCAAGCAAAGCTGATGCAGTTACCCTTAACAGTCAATCAGTTTATTAAGATGCATTGGAAAGATCATAAACAACTGGCAACTATGGGTAATTCCACTACCTTTGCTGCAGTTTTTTCAGCTTTGGTGTACTTGTAAATCACCCTTTGTAATCTATGGTTATGTTGCCCAAATTCACTATTGCAGAATCCAATTTTGTAACATATTTGTTCCTCAGTATTCATTCTCTTTGTTGTATTTTTAGTAGACCTGTCACATTACAAAATGTGTTCAAAGGGATATTTATCATTAAAGTGACCCTTTCCTTTACTATGGCGGCACAAAGTTAAGGGGACAGTTAACCCTCCCACCCCAGCAGCATAAACTCACCTTTCCTGTGCTAGTCCCCCCCACCGTTCCATGTCTCACTAGTGACCCCAGCACTGGTAACAAATCATTACAAACGGGACCACTAGAGAGACTACCCACCTTCTTCATATAGTGTCTCTCGCTTGCTGACTGATATACCGCAGACTCTTAAGTCGGGTATACACGCTGCTATTTTCTTCATTTAACCTGCAGGCTGAACTAAGAAAATAAAACAGATTCCTCCATCAACGCATAGGAATGCTGATCGAGGAATCTCCTGCTGTTCCCTTTGCATTCTGAAAGCGGCCACTGTCATAATACCCAAACAGAGCTGCCGGCTCATTGGGTGCTAGCTCTGTTAGGCCAACAATTTTCAGACATGCTCCTTTGATCAGCTGACCGAGGGATGCCGGTTGAAAAGGTGCTGGCAGCTGATCCCACGCATCGAATTTCAGTCAGTTCCTCTAGAACCGGACAACATTTGAATTGTGTATACCCAGCTTTACTCGTTATTGAAGGTGCAGTGACAGAGCAATACCTCACCGGATTGGCCAGTACACAGAAACGGAAACAAATGTGATCAGTTGCTTCTGGCAAAACTTTCAGACATGTTTTGGGTACTTTTATACATGTAGCTCATGGTCCTTTAGATCACAATTTATGCTAAAACTGTAAGGTTTTTTATGATTTACTACACAAAGCATCCTTATCATTCCCTGTTATAGCTTTGCTAAAGGTCTACAGCAAAAGGCATCTGAACTTTGCATTGATGTTAACTAAAGAATAAAAAAGGTTGTTGAATTGCACAAACTGAAATTAAATGTCACCTAATGCACACATTACTGCCTCTGTAAGAAACATGAACCCCCTAAAAAACTAAAAAAGAATTACACAATTAGACCTAAAATTTCATTACACACTGTCACACTGGCATAATACTGTCTTTATATTTCTAGGAAAACCCCGTTTAACTAATAGAACTAAATAAGTTGTGTCTGTGATTTTATAATTCATACTAGCAAAGCACTGTATGCTTTAGCAATGAAATATTCATAGAATAATTGGGAAGTTAATCTACTGGATAATATCTATTGTCCGCTAATAGAAGTATTCCTTTTAAAAGAAAATTACATTATTACTACTGTGCTTACTCAAAGATTCTGAAGGTGGCAACAAGCCATAGAGGAACAAATCTGTATTCAAAACAGATTTGTATGATTTTAAATGGGAAAAGATTCAGATTGCTCCATAAACATTGTCGAGAGAGTTTAATGTCACAACACTGTGTAATCAATACTTGGAAATAAAATTAGAAAAATTAAGTTTTGATAAAAATGTTTTTGTGTTTTGAAGCATGTATTATATCCATTCAGGTTATTCATTGTTGCATGCTTTTGCATACATTTTAGGGCTTATCAAAATTTCCAAGCATGTGTCATCAATTTTTCAGGAGACTTTTGTAGGCCTATGTCATCTGTTATGGTCCTTATCCTTCATGCATCATAAGCATACAGATGCACAGTCATTTATATATAATACAAACTATTAAATCGAAATTCTAGACAAAACATTGGGAAATGGGAAATGTAGAGGTTTTTAATGTTGATCAATGTCCTCAGCACTGGGGAGATTTCACCAAGGCACAAGGGTGAGGGATAAGGGCATCCCCAACCTTAACTTAGCCACCTGACGCGGGGGGAGGGGTGCGGTTGTGGTGATGGACAGCCCAGGGAGGTGGGGGATCAGATTTGTTGGGCAGGCGGTGTTGATGGTGATGAATGTTCCGCTCAGCTCCTGGCAACCAGTGACGTCAGTGAATTGTGCGGGATACCAGCCAGAGAATCACAGATTTCTAAGAGCTCTTACCAACCTGAGACGCTCTAGTCTGTGACCCAATGAGATACTGTCTGAGGAAATCACCTCATTATAGGGACAGCCCTGGTAAGAGAGGACCAGTACAGGACCAGGATCAGGACAGTTGAATTGCTCCAATAGGAGCACAATTTAAAATAAAAATTATTTAGAGGACAAAAAAGGTACAAAATCAGAACAATAAAACAAACAAAAACATTGCAAGTTGGTCTTTTTCTGTCATCATACTTCTATGTTTCTGTGAGGGTCTTACCCTGACTTGTCCAGTTGCTTCTTGCATGGCTGAAGTGTTTGTGACACCGTGGTTGCTCTTTGGCGCCCTCCTATGTCCAAACCCGTACACATCGCCACTCTGCTCCACTGGCTAGACTCCTGGGTACTTCCTGTCCCACAGTGCTGATGCAGGCACCAGGTCACTATTTAATCTCACCTTGTGCATTCAGTCTCTGCCCCTGCGTTTGTTCTGATCAACCAAGTGTGCTGCTGTTTGTTCCTGATTTCCGTGTATGACCCTGGCTCTGGCTAACTGATCTCCTGGTTCCTGACTCCGGCTTTGTTTCTGTTCATCCTGCTCTCTGTGCTCCCTGACCTGGCTTGGCTTACTACCCACTTTGGCATTTGATCCCTGGCATTGCACTGACTAAGTCCTGGACTTTCTCCATTGTTTTTTGCCATTTATGTTCACTGTTGTTTTCAATAAACTCATTTTATATTTTAAACCTGCACTTTAAGTTTTAGTCTGGTCTCTTGTTTCCTTAACACTTTGATCAGTGTTAAGCTGTGAGCCTGTTTTCTTTGTCCTGCCTGGGCAAAGCGCAGGTTCACTTTCAGCTGTCAGTTTGTCCTTACCAAGCAAGGGGTACATGTTTTGAATTAGGGATTTAGTACTGACTTGCAGAGACATTACTGAATCCTGTTAAATCAGAGTCTTCCAATGTTGATTTGGGAGATTTTATGGAACCTAGAAGTATATGTGCTATCAAAGAACTTCCAGCCACACAAACATGTTTCATAATTTTTGATGCTAAAACTGTTTTTTCTCTAAATATAATTTAGTAAATTATTGTCATCATTTACAAAGCTGGGAGTGTTGTTATTAAGCAAACTACCCAATTCTAGACTTGGAACTACTTCTTTGAAGTCTTTTGGGAGTAAATGATAGGCTTGTTGTGTGATGTTAGTCCAATCATTGAAAACTATTAACTACTGAGAAGGAGTACTGGCCTCACAGAGCTCCTTTTTTTTAAATAAGTAAACAGCAATTAGCAGACACCTGAAGAGTGTGACTAACTAACTAATTGTTGAGCTAACTCAAAGTTATATTTCAGTAATGGACATGTGTCATCATATCAAATAGACCATCTCATAGAAACCAGTCCTTGTTATAATGAGTAGACCTCCATCTCCACAGTGCATTTTGTCATTTGTGATTAAATTAACATTTTTTGAAAATACAACAGAAGGAGCTGATCACTCCACCAGAGAGACCCTACAGCTGCCGGGGTTTTTGATTGTTATAAAAAGTCAGTAGGTCATTCCAGTATTTAGTCATAACTGAAGAATATGTTTTGGTTACCTTGATCATTTAGAGCTAATTCACAATTGTACACTTTAGGTGAATTACAAAGAGCACAAAAAAACACATTAACCACTTCAGGACCACAATACGTATATGATGAGCACGGTCCTGAAGTGGTTATACCAAGATCACGGCTGATCACAGATGCATTTTTTTATTCTGCGGGGCCTCTGCTTTCAGAACTATAATTATTTGTGGTTTTGAGCTATTTTCTAACCAAAAATTCAGATGCATGTGCAAAAATTAAGATACTGCTCTGAACGCGAAGTGGTTAAACAATTTTTGCTAAAAACACAATGCCATACTTGGAAAATGCCCTTAAACACACACATTAAAATTGCATGTGTTTTTAAGTGCAGAAGTGTGACTGGGTGCATAATATTACAGTCCCTTTAAATAAAATATTTACACTTGTCATCTTTTGGATCATGCTACATTTGTGACAGCAGTTTAACAATCAACAATCTGTACATATATTGCTATTAGCATTGCCCAAAGTAAATGATGGCTAGTGCTGCAAAAATTACACTGTTTAATATTACTCCTGTCACTATATCATATAAACTAGGACAGAGCAGTCAACTCCCTTGTGACCATAAACAATGCAAACCTGCGTACTTTGGTAGCTAAAGACAGCATGTTGGTACTGTGGAAGGGTGGGTTTAGTGTTGCCATTTGATAGAGGATGCATCCTGCTGCCCATACATCAGCCTTTTCCCCATATGGTTCACTCTTAACAACTTCCGGACTGTAGAGGAAATAAAAGAACAATTATTGCTGATGATATTGTATTGTATAAAATCTGTGGCTTTTAGGAATGCACCAACTAATAACATGGGGCCATAGTGATAAATATTTCAATGGGCCCCTAGTTCTTCATTTTTTGTCTGCAGTGTAAGAATGTGCCATCGCACTCCAGACTGGAATCCTGCAGAGCCTCCCTGTCCCTCACTTGCTCGTCACTGCTGAGGCATTGAGATCGATGTCCTCAGTGGTTTTTTTATTTTTATTTTTTATTGTACAGCTTGGACCAATGGCGCTTTGCCATTGGTCCAAACCATCCACAGAGCTCAAGCATCTAACATAGAGTAGAGGCTGTTTAAATATCACACATTTTCTGAATTTGCATACTGAAAATAGCTAAGTGGCCAAGAAATATAATAAGTAGGTGGGCTTTTCAAATTCACAGCACTAATCAATCTCAAAAGTTAATTTTGGGTGAAATAGTTCATAAAAGGAATTCCAGCTTATAATATGTTTCTGAACAAGAAAAGGTGCTAGAACTACCACGTTGTAATATAACTATATGCAATATTATAAGATGAATTACACCATGAACCTATTTATTACTGTAACTGTAGGCTGTAAGGCCTTGCCAAACCTCTACCTTCTGGTATATATGGTGGTTGATTTACTGAAGGTATAAAGGCTGTTTATTTTGCAAAATGTATTTTCAGATTGCAAAGTGACTGTTCATTTATCTTAGTAAGTAATGTGAAGGTGTATCCACTTCAATTATCCAATCACGTACCAGAAAAAAAACAACTTTAAAAAAAATATACCTTGCATGTGATTGGGCATTTAAAGTGAACATACAGCCTCTACTACTTCAGAAAATCAACCATTCAAACATAAAATGTTTACCATTATTATGTGTTTTTTGTAGCATTACATAAAAAGACACAACGTAAAAACAAAGCCTTCATTTTAATTGTAAATGGCACTTGATTTAGATCTAATTGCATGCTGTAAAGCAGCAGTCTAACAGGACATCGATCTAGTACAGGTATTCATTTAGAGCACATGGATCCAGTACTGGTATTCATTGAGGGCTCATTCAGACTTTGGTGTCCTGGTGAGTTTCGTTTTAGCAAGTTAATGTACGTTGTGTTAAGCCTGCCCATTCAAATGAATAATAAGTGGAGAGTAGACGTGCACTATTTTTGGCAAGGCAGCACACCATAATGCATTTAGGTGCCATTCAAAATAAATAGCACTGCAATGTGCCAAAACACGTGGGTTAACATGAGCTGTGGTAACATGCACTTTACCAAAACACACTGCATTGGAAAGGTGTGAATACATCCTAAATAGACATGTGCGTTTCGTTCCGAATCAAAATTCGGACGAATTTTTGGAAATTCGGACATTCGGATGTATCCGAATTCCGAATTACAGACATAACGAATGCGAACGAATCCGAATTTCCATTTCCGAAATTCGGTAGCGGTAGTTCGAACGTTCGTTTTGTTTTCTGTTCTTATTCGTTTCCTATTCGTTGGAGCAAAGTGACATTAGAGAAGGAGAAAAATATTTCGTTCGTTGGAGCAAAGTGACATTAGAGAAGGAGAAAAATATTTTTTCCCCCTCAAATGTCACTTTGCTGCAAACGAACGCAGGAAACGAATAAGAAACAAATAAGAACAGAAAACGAAACGAACGTTCGTACTAACACTACCGAATTTCGTCCGAATCCGAATTCCGAATCCGAATTGACTTTCACACCCGAATCCTGAAAAACGAAATAACACAAATCCGAATTTAAAACTAAACGAAACTAAACAAATTTTTTGGCAGTGCACATATCTAATCCTAAAGGGTTTATATCAGCTTGGGCAATATAGACTAAGTTATTACTTTCAGCCAGGTAAGAGAACTCAGAAATAACTAACAAATGTAAAGCGATAGTTCACCAAGAAAAAAACACATAAACATGCAGCAGTTTAATATTAAACAAAGTAGCATGTTTCAACTATGTGTCTGTTAGTATGTCAATTATTATTAATATTATTATTATTACAAATTTCACTGTAGACATCTTCAGGATCTAAAGGAAGCCATGCACTTAGTAAGTCTGGGTGAAATAGCTGACATGGTCATTTCATTCTCTCATATCTATCCATCCATCTACCTACCATTGAATCCCTTCATTTTTCATTCCATAGCTCTCTAGGCCTGCATACTGTGATTATGCACATTATGAATATTTTTCTTCAATTGCTGATTTATATTATAGCAGGGGAAACTGAGTTTCTCCACGAACATAAGTAGGTTGTAGCAGCAAGCTCTGTGATCCCATTTCCTTTACCATCACCTATCACCATTCATATTGCCCTTTTTATCAGCTTTAGGGCTAATGCTAAATAACAAATAAAATAAAATCCATGGCAAAGGACAACATGACTGGCCATCTTACCAGGAGTAGAGAATGGTGCCAACAATCGATGTTAGTTTGCTGTTTTCTTGCTTCTGCTTAGCAAGGCCAAAATCAGCTACAAAATAAAAAATGCAGTTACTACTAATATGCACCAACTTACATATATAAGTTAGATTGGGACTATATGTTTACATTCCAAATGTTGCACAATATTGTCTGTTCTGTTTGCATGTTAGCCAGGGTAAAACCTAGGAATTTGCACCCCAACTATTGAACATTTTATGCATTTTATCAATCATGTTTTATGTCAACAAGACTTCACAGTTTGCTATGGTTTTCTGCACTGGCCTACTCATCATGCTGGAGATACCTTATACAGTATATTTAGAAGAATTTATATATAATATTTTTGCTAATTGATATAGCGGCAACACATTCCACAGAACTTTCAAGAGAACACTGAACCATGTACATTAGGTCATGCTTTTAAAGTTGCTTACTATCTAATCTTGCTCCCACATATTTATAGACACACACACTAATTTGGTTGGAAAGCAACAAAAACATAGTGAGAACATAGAAACTTTATTAATACAGTGATACAGTTTCCTTGATTGAATTAATCCCAGCACTGCAAAGGGGCTTAAAGGATGTGCAATTCCGTTTACAAAGATTTGCTTAAGTTAAAGTGCCATTGCATGTCACCGGTATGGCTAGGGTTTATCCAAGACACAAACACGAGAATTTACAGAACACAGGATAAAATAAATAATGGAAAATAAACTTAGTGGTAGAATAGAAGCAAGACAAGCAGAAGCAGTAAAAAGGAGAAGAAGAAGGGGGGAGGGGTATAAGCAACAGGGCTCCAGCCACTTTGTAGGCTTTAAATTGAAAAGTCTAAAGCAAAGTGATAATATTGGCACCGCCAATCTGGCCAATCAGCTGTATTCAATTCAAAGGGAACAGGTTTTGGACATTTCTGTTGGGAGCCAAGAAGATTCATTATTTAATTAATCATGGTATCCATCAATCTTGGCTTCATCTCATGGAAATTTAAAGTAGGGGTTCCTCACACCCTGGCAGGAAACTGTTACAGCACCAACAATAAATATGACCATTGTTCTCAATTGCTAGTATGTTTAAACTGTTTTTGGAATCCCCAGACTAAATACTCTGAGTTGCACACAGATCCTTTGCCTATTTGCATAAATAAATGCTTCTTATAAGTAAAGGGGATAACACAGTGTACAGTCCACAAACCCCTCCAATGATATATATGAGGATGTGAAATTACATTTTGAGGGTAGTAATGTTGATAAGGATGATACTGCTTTAGCTCATATAGTTGGTGTAATTTAAATTAGAGATAAGAGTTGGACTGGATGACCATCTACAGTACCATATCTAAAAAAAGTCCATTAAATAAGGTCTTCCATAGAATATAACTATGTAACAGTAGCTATCTAAGGTGCAATAAAATATTTGCACTGCATAGAGTAAGTGGAATGAATAAGTGGAGTGTGCTTGCTACGCCTACAATATGCAACAACCTCACAAGACACCACAACTGCCTCATTGTTTCATATAAGCATCCAGCGTGCAGCAATCAACCTCCTTAACAATATTATCATAAGTAATGCATTAACAAACGTTTTCTCTTTAGCAACCATAAAATATTCATGGCCATTGGGTACACATAAGCGTCCAATACATTTACTTCTTTAGAGAGCATTCTGTTGTTTGCAGGTCTGTAAAGACGATATATAAAGTTTACGGTGCTATTTTATACAAGGTGCGATATATCCAAGTATGCGGACAGACATATGCTGAACAAAAGATAAAACTTGGGAAGATCTTAACAGCATTAACTCCTAGCCAGCCATGGGACTGGAAAGTTCTGCCATGACACCAGGAGGCCCCCCAGCTGCTGCTTTATCGGGATGGATAAGTGACACAGAGGTGGCATGTGTTGGATTTCCAGACAGGTGTGAAGAGAAAGCCAGTAAAATGGAAAATTTTGTTAAGGTGAAGTAAAAATAAAATGTTTGCATTGGCTCCCTAGTCCCAGGACATAAGCAAATGTAGAGAAAAGGGGAAGAACATCTGGGGAGGAGGTATGAGGGGTCGTTAGGACAACAGGATGTCATAGGCAATTATGAAATATTTGTGCTCTATACCTGCTAATTCCACTCATTTAAAATATGTGTGCTAGTTGAAGGCTAAATACAAGAATCAATTAAACTGGAGAAAGTGGACATCTCTGTTGGATCCCACAGCCTAAAGGAAATGTAGCAGTTTCATATTCTCAATAGAGTTGGTGTGGGTTCAGTGTACAGGGCACGAGAAACATATGTTTAAAGCCCCACTCTTATAGAACAAAATGGATACAGGGCTAAACAGGTTGTACAGTGTCAAGCTTTTCTTTCTTTGACCCGTATAAATTACGTACATCTATGCCTTTTAATATGCTAAATGCAGAATAATTTCCCAGAGGATATATGCACTGAATAAATAACTTTCTTGGTATTCCTTTCTGCTAAAGCAGGAGTTACTTTATTTTCACACGTGCAAGTGTAGCTATTGACACTGAAACTTTTTACTGAAAATTAATTCACCAAGTGCACGCTCTTATCTTCCCGAACAGAAAACAAGCTCTTCTGGGCAATATATACCTAAATGCTATTACTTAATAATGCCACACAAGTATTCTACTAACTGTGGTGATTTAGCTGCCTGTAAAAAATATGTTGGTTTACATAAAAGAGCTTGCTGTAAGAATCACAACAAATATGTCAAGTTTTAGAACCTAAATATATTTTAAATAAAAGGGATATGGAAGTAATGGTTATAGAAACATTTTATAACATACAGTTGGCTTCCTTTACAGTAATCTGGAAGAATGTTGCCAGCTACCAACAGTAAGTGTCTGACTAGCACGGCAGCTAATGTAGAATGAATGGCAGCACAGGAGAACAAGGTTAAATAATTAATTTGCCTTTGCAGGTATGGCTACCTACACTGATATAGTGGTTGCTGATATTAATCCTTTTTTTTATAACTTTATTTTCATTATTAAACATATTAACATAGATTAATAATAGGAAGCAACATGTGTGGAAATAGTAAAAGAACAATAACAATGCCATAAGTATCAAAAGAAGATACAATACAAAACACCAAGTCGCGGCAAAAGAAGATGTGCATGTAAATAGCAACAATATCAACACCCAAGTTAAAAGATCAAAAGGCAGAACAAGCAGTAAGAAAGGAAAAAAAAAAGAAAAGAGAAAAAGGAGAGAGAAGAAGGATAAGATTCTGTGCCTCCTGACCACAGGACAAGGGAAATCACTCTCCATCCATACTTGATCTCAACAATCATTAGGGGACAATTAGAGGAGTTGCCAAGGAGACCATATCCTTTAAAAGTTAGAGAGGGAATTATTTAATATAGCGGTGAGGTACTCCAGATTGTATTTTTCATGAATCCTCTGGATCAGATCTGGATTAGAGGGAGAAACTGGTTGCCGTCATTTTAATGCTATTAAACATTTGGCTGCCATGAGGACATGATTGGATATTAGTACTTTTGTATTAGTACCTTTAAAAGATTTTCCACTTAGGGCATAAAGTGGAATCCACTTCCTGGTGATTAGTCTAGTCTGGAGTATTCTATCTTCTTCTGCTTAGGGGAGGCAGGGTCCTTGTTTGGTCCACGTCAATGCCTCTGTGTGACGTGGACACTTCATATTGGCTGTTCAGCAGCAGGGCCCTCTCAGGATCCAGAATTTTATTCTCAGCAATGATGTCAGTGTGGGGGGTCCATTGAGGACTGGCTCGAGCAGGCACATGTACAGAGCTGGATTACTGGTGCCCTGCACCCTTAAACGATGCCAGCAAGGAACCAGAACAATGGACTTAGGTGAGTAAAGCGTGCTTCAGAAGAAAAAGAAACTTGTTGAATGAGTCAAAGAGTGTTTGGAGGGAGTTAATGTTTGCCCGGAGATGGGCTTTAACATAAAAAATAAATTGGATGCCAGGTCCACTTTAATGTAGATGTTTGGCTCTTTTTGTTTCTAGTAATCATGGCCAGTGTAGAATAATGCAGGCGTGTTTTATAGAGCAACAGACAAAACAGCAGGACCGCTAATAGTCATTGTTATTATTTAGTTAAGTAGAATCAGCACATTTCACTGAGCAGTATAATGAAATGATTTTATGGTATGACACTAACAGAGACTAATGAATCTCGATAAAGAATGAGCATGTGCTTAAGCAATTCATGATTTGCTATAATATAATAACAGAGCAAGGGCAAAAGAGGTGCTTTGATTCCCAGCTAAAATAAACAGGACACATATGCCCATGATGTCCTTGTCTGCGGCTCTTACCCTTTCTGCTTAAGGAAAAAATGATAGCTTTTGGTAAAATAAATATAATGGCTGGTGTCAATCCATTATATACACAGGAGAGAAAGCAGTTGAAGTAAAATACACAATACTACAGGTTGGGTATAACTTGTAATCTAAATGTAGGGTAAGCTTTAAATACCTATTCAAAGAACCAGACCCAAAGGAGCCTTAACTCATCTCTGCGTGATTGCAGTGAGAAGAGGTCGAACTATTTCATATGTCAAACTGCATTTTGTTTTGTCCATTGCAAATAGTAAGACCGTGGCCTTCACATGTTCTTACTATAAATCAAAGCAGCAGTTCAAAGAAAAGTCAGGGCTGTTTAACAAATGTACTCTTAACAATAAGAAATCTCTGCGATTGTAAAAGCAGGATTATTGTGATAACAATTATGTGCAGAAATAGTTCATGAATTAAAGTGTGCATAAAGGCAATTCTATTTTTGTTTGGAAAGAGTAGGGAAGAGTTAGTCCCTTTGTCAAATTTGTTTTCTGTGTCCCTGCGAAGAAGGAGATTCCCAGCTGTATCTGTGCTGATGACCATTATCACCTAGACAAAAAGGGAGGTGAAATCCACAAATTTTGAGTTGTCATCACAGCAAGAGGTGAGGGAAAATTCTCCAAAGTGGATAACAGCTTCTATCACATTTCTCAAAGATGGGAATTCTGTTCACTTTAGAGAGATTTCCAGCTGTGTCTCCAGGACA